TAAAGAGATAGGAAAGAGAGAAAATTAGATATGTGGAGAAAGAATAGAGAAAGACAGGTGAAAGAGAGGGAGAGATGCAGACAGACAAGGAGGAGAATAAAGAGATAGACAAGAGAGAAAATTAGATATGTGGAGAAAGAATAGAGAAAGACAGGTGAAAGAGAGGGAGAGATGCAGACAGACAAGGAGGAGAATAAAGAGATAGACAAGAGAGAAAATTAGATATGTGGAGAAAGAATAGAGAAAGACAGGTGAAAGAGAGGGAGAGAGGCAGACAGACAAGGAGGAGAATAAAGAGATAGGCAAGAGAGAAAAGGAGAGATGTGGAGAAAGAATAGAGAAAGACAGGTGGGAGAGAGGCAGACAGACAAGGAGGAGAATGAAGAGATAGGAAAGAGAGAAAAGGAGAGATGTGGAGAAAGAATAGAGAAAGATAGGTGAAAGAGAGGGAGAGAGGCAGACAGACAAGGGACAGAAGGATAGAGAGAGCCAGGGAAAAAGGGATAGGGGAGAAAAGAGAGAAAGACAGGTAAAAAAGGGAGAGGGGTGAGAAGGATTAAGAGAAAGGGAGAGGGGAGAAAGAAGAGAAAGACAGGTGAAAAATGGACAGAGATAAGAGACAAGGGAGAAAAGGATAAAGAAAGAGAAAGAGAGGGACAAGCAGTGAGAATGGAGAGAAAGACAGGACTGGATCAGTGTTTGGCAATACACAGGGAATCCACATGGGGGGAGTGTCTGCCCTTCTGCTGGGGGGCCAAGCAGATGGGTCCCGAGCACGGCCTCTCACTGCCTGGCCAGGTGGGAGGGACTGGAAAGGGAGGCGTGCTTCACCTCCCAGAGGAGATCCCTTAGCAGGTCTCTCACATGCTTCACAGAAATGTCCTGAGACGAAGGAACGGGCTGTCCTTTTTAAACCCCCCCCCCCCCCACTGTCCACTATCCACCCAGGCTGGGTGGAGGACGATTAAGTGATACCAGGGACAGACGGCAGAGTATAAACCCACCATTGCTGACATTACGTAAGAGCATGGTAACTTTTCTGCCTAATATTTTTACCATTATGATATCTCCATGTCTTGGCAGGAGCCACTTCTGTGCTGTGCCAATGATTTCCTCTGAATTTAAAGAAGAGAGTGAAACGAGAGACAGTGTAAGGAGGGAGAAAAGAGCAACCCAGTGAACGAGAAGTGGAGAGAGGGAATGAAGGAGGATGGGAGGAGGCAGGAGGAGTGCAGTGGGGGTGGAGGGAAGAGAATGATAAACAGGAGTGGGAGGCAAAAGGAACAGGAAGAAGAGGAGGAATGCAAAGGAAAGAGAGTAGGAAAAAGAAGCACGTGAGCAGCACAGGCCGTGAAGAGGATGCACTTAGGGCTTGGGGCCGCAGCTGTGCAAGGGCGCCGCCTACCTGTGACATGGATGTACTGCGGCTTGTTCTCTGACGGGAAGTTAAAGGCGGAGGCGGAGAACTTGTCATGGACGAAACCAAACCTGCGTAGGACAAGAGGGCAGAGTGAGGAGCAGTTAGTACAGCCCGAGTCTGGGGGCAAGGCTGGATGGCTGTCCATCCTCCTGAGCCACTCCTACCTGTAGATTATGGCCTCTTGCAACAGCTGCATTCTGTCCCAGTAAGTCTCGGGTTCGAATCCTGTCAGGATCACGTGCGAATGGGAATTCATTACTTAGTAGAAAGACCAAACGGAAATAAGGCAAAAAAACAACACTTTCTTTGTCGGCCACATATAGATACACACGCACATTTTCATTTGGAGTCCCAGATCATGTGAATGTAATTCATAACCCCCTCCCCAAGTAACACTGAAAACTGAATACTGATATTTAATATAATGTTCTGGAACTTTCAGCTTCATAAAAGCAGCAGAGGGATCCATGCAGGGAGTTTCAGCGCCCCCCCCCTCCTCACCCTCAAAGAGGCTGTCACTGGCGTCCCTCAGCAGGACCTGCACGTGCAGCGGGATGAAGAGTTGGGCACGAAGCGGATCGCCATATAGGTACGAGGGCAGGGCGAAGGGCACCTCCAGGGTGGGCACCAGCAGGAAGCCACACGAGGCCGCCTTCCTGTGCCATCCCTGGACCTGAAAGGGGGGGCGGGGCCCAAATAGACAGACAGGCGTCCTGCTCCAATCCAAAACTCACACACACACCCGCTCCGTCTTCATCCCTCAATGTCCTCCATAAATTCAGCCAAGAACCTGCTTCTGAACAGACCGGACATAAAACACGCAATGCTGGACGACGTTTAAGCGATTAAGTTTCAGAGAGACGGTGCCTCTCTGTGGCGGCTCCCCCAGCACGGCGGCCTCACCATCTCGAAGAGGACCGCGGCCGTCGCCACCATCCACTGCAGCTTGATCTCCACGGCGGCGTTGGAAGAGAAGTTGCCATGGTAATAGCAGCTGCACCACTCGGTACGATCGCTGCGGTTGTTCACATCCACATCCAGGGTGACTGTCTTCTGCTCTGGCAAGGTGGCAGCTGGGGGCCAGATGGGGGGAGGGACAAATCGCAGAGGCGAGTTTGTGGTTTTGGGTTAGTTTATCAAACGAACCCCAAAGGCACATGTCCGGTGACTTCTCATAGTAACATGATTATTGTAGGAGCGTGTAAGTGTTGGACATCACACTCTTACCCAAATCCTCCGGTTTCTGTCTGCTGAAGATGCACTTCAATCTATTTGTTTAAACAACTCACTCAATTCTGCGTGACACAATTCTAGCCGTGACCTAGAAACGTGCAGTGGGGATACACCCCTCTCATAAGACAGGCTTTCTTCTGGCCTTTGTCAATATTAGAAGAAGAATCCAAATTGTAGCCCAATTCGGCGATCACCAGGTGGGCGTCCCTGCATGCTTGTGCCACACAGCTGTTAGATGTGTCTGGTGCGAGGAGACGGTGATGATGCGTCCCTCACTGGCGACCAGTGACTCCAGTGGAGCCTGAGAGACAGCACTGTGGGCACTCAGGGAATCCCAACCCGGTTTCTGTATCTCCTCTGTGACAGCAGAGCCAGCTTCTCCTGTCTGAAGGAACTCCCTGGCCCAGCCTGCCAGCGAATCGAAACCGAGGAGGAGGGCGTCTTACCTGAGCGACCCGTGAGGTGGCAGCATAATGCTGACACACCCCGAGGTCTGCTTAAGTGTAACGGTACATGAACCATTAGCATGTCAGCCGATGACGTGAACCAGCATGACCGCTGCCATTTGACAGCTGCTATGATGGATGCAGTCATGGGTGAACATGCAACGGGGTCATGCAAAGCTTCAGATCCTGCATCCAGCAAACGGGTGACACCATTATGAACGCAAACACAGAAGTACCAGACATGGGCGTCGCTTCGAGACCAGAGCAGGTAGAGGACAGGTCTAGCAGCCCTGGCTTCTGACCCACGCCTCGATTCTCCCTCTCAGACTTGCTGTCTGCAAGGCAGGCCTGCGAGTGGTCGACCCGAGGCCTCTACAGCCATGCAGACATCCACAATCATGCACGGCTTTTGAGATTTTTTTCAGGGAGATCCAGTTAGGCTCAGAAGCCAAGCTTGACTCATAGATGGGTAGCTCCAGGCCATTGGCTTTTCTGGTTGTCACGTGACCTATGACTTACATTATGATTGGTTCATGACAAACAGTATGCATTCTGCCCAATAGGGACTGGAGTTACACATGTATGTAAGACCTGACTGCCCCTTCCTGGCTTTGATTATAACCATCCTGAAGGGGAACACAAAACACAAAAACACAAAAATTAAAGACAGGGAAAGCTAGAGACTTGTAAAACGTTCTCCCAATGTTCCTGAAATGGCCGTAATGCCCTCAGGAACATTGCGAGTACGTTGTACATCAGTCACAGGGAGAAACAGCCCAAACCACTACACTACAGTAACACAGCCACTACCAGAGCATGCATTAAGCACGACAATGATCAGTTAATGCTCATCTGATTTGGGGGGGGGGGCATGCATGGGGCTCTGTATGCATTCACAATGTCGCCAATCACACAGCAGGTGGATGGTGGAATGCCAGACCCGCCCACTGCCAGCTGACCCAATCACAAGCCAGTGCATGCGGTTGGAGGGGTGGGAGCAGTCCCAGAGTGCTGACATCACACGGAGCCGGTGATGAAGTCATGGACGTTAGGAAGAAAGGGAATGGAGAAGTTCAGGTGTTGAGCGGGCTCTGTGTGTTCAGTGTGCCATGAATAAAGGGTAACTGAGGTAACTCTGAGGTCGAGTAGAATGTTCAGTGAGGCAGGTGAACAGGGTCTAAGGCGTCCCCTAAGATGAGAGTGCCGAGCGGGCCGTGTCCGGCGGAGGAGAGCGACCGCTGTATTAAAGCTGCCCGAGGATGTACAGTGCAGGAGGCCACGTTCAGAGAGCTGCATAAACGTGAGCCGGCTGCCCCGGAGGTACAGGTGTTCAGCAGATGGGGTCAGCAAAAAATCCTTCACAGGTACGTGTTCAGCAGGCTGCGTTACGTGAGAAAGTATGAATGAAGTCAGTTAGGTGTGTTTAGCAGGTTAACATGCTTCATGAGGCCCGACTCCATGTGATGCCCTACTCTGGGCGGTGGGACGTACCACCTGAGGGGGCCGCGGGGGAGGGGCTGGGCGGGCAGTGGGACGTCCCACCCGAGGGGGCCGCGGGGGGTTGGGGCAGGCTGTGTGTACCTAGCAGAGCGGCGGCCTGGCTGCGTCCCCCGAAGCTGCGGCTGAAGGAGCTGTGCCTACTTGCGTAGGAGGCGGGGCGGCTGGGCAGCCAGGGCAGCAGGAAGGCGGGCAGGTCGCAGGGGCGCCGCTCCTCCAGCACGAAGGCCACCTCGAACCACTTCCTCTGGAAGAGGGTGAAGTCCTCCAGCGCGGTGCCCGACAGGCCCCCTGCCCCTGTGGGGGGCAGCGGCGTGGATGGGCCTGTGGGGAGGGCGGGGCTTCCGTCTCACAGGGCATGATAACTGGCTGTGTGTGTGTGTGTGTGTGTGTGTGTGTGTGTGTGTGTGTGAGAGAGAGAGAGACAGACCGTTCTTTGCCGCCCCCTACCTCGCTCTGCTTCCCTTTCCGGCGCGATCCGGTAGAAGTAGAAGCCGTAGATAAAGGAGCGCATGGCTTCCCCAGACGCGTGAGCGATCAGTCCCTCATCCAGCATTTTCTGCTCAGGGAACAGAGCGTCTCAGTTGAGCCGCCCGGTGCCCCAAAGCCCGGGGCCGAGGCGGCCGGCAGCACGGAGCCCACCTGCATGATGTCCACGGCCATGCCCTGCGTGGCCACGCCCTCCACGTTGCTGACCAGCCAATGGACGACCTCAGCGCTGATGAAGCAGTGTGGTGGCAGGCCTTTCTGTTCGGGGAGGAGCTGCACGCCCATCCTTCACAGCACAGACGCACACAGCTAATCACACAGAGAAGCTGCTGACTGCAACTATCACAAAAGCCTGTCTGCACTTGGCCTAGTCAGTCCCCCCAGGACGTGGGTCTGCACCCTGCACTACAGGAACAAGGCGGGGCTCTTTTACGTGGGGTGTTTGATGGCCTCCAGGATGTCCATTAAGGTGGAAGATGAGCTCAGGATGGAACCTCCAGCAGCAGCCTGCCCACTGCAACACAGCGAGGAACCGCAGGAAGCCAGTCAGTAACTTAACACCGATTCCCCGCAGGAAGCCAGTCAGTAACTTAACACCGATTCCCCGCAGGAAGCCAGTCAGTAACTTAACACCGATTCCAGAGAGTTACACAGGAGGCCAATCGGCAATTCAGAGCTGAAATATAGCAGCGTATTAAACAATACTTCAATATTCAAGACTGTTCAAAAGCACAACAGGTGACTAAGAAGAGCAGCTTATGTTCACACGCACTGAACTTCCAAGGTTATTTTTCAATATCAGTAAGAGAGACAATCCGCCAGAGGCCTGAATCAGCGCACACAGCTCCGGCCTTCACCTGGTCTCCATGGAAACGCTGGACGAGGGTCCTGCCTCTCCGGGCCCCTGAGCCGCGGGGCCTCCCGCAGCCTGGGGGGCCCCCTTGTCGGCCAGCCCTCCCTCCGTGATACTGGCTGCTGCGTGATCGACTGCCATCTATGGGAGCCAATTAAAAGCTGTCAGCTGCCATTAGCTCGTCTACCTCATGCTGGCCAATGTCAGCATTCTTCCAGAAGATTCCGACTGCCGCGGCTAGACTAGGAAGATGCACACTATTACATGCACAGGCCACACAGGTTAGCAGTCTTACCCAACCTTCCTGAGATTATCAGGATGTGATTATGTAACACTACAGCAAATAAGTGCCTTTCTATTAAAAAGAAGGGGAGGGGTTTGATTGAGTGTCAGGCATCTATCAGCTGATTGGTCAAGCTTTGATAAGCGGCCTATCAGCTGACACAGGCAGCTGCATGCAGCTACACTAAGAGGCATAACCGTGCTGATAACATGCACTTGGTGGTGCTGCAAAACAGGGCATGCGAGGCACTGCAGCACCCCCCCACAATCCACCCCCAGACCCCCACCATACTGACCTGAGTGTGAGACATGTAGGAGGAACGGGGGCTACGGACAAAGTCCAAAAAGAAGGCTGCGTCCTGTAAACGCAGGAGGGGGCAGGAAAGAGATATAGCGGAGGCCCAAAAAACAGAAGGAGGAGGAGGAGGAGGAGGGAAGATGGAAAGAACTTCAGAAAGTTAGGAGGGGATGAGTACTGACTGATAGACCAAGGACAAAATAAAGGTCTCTCACACAGACAGACTCACAGACACACACTGAGAGAGAGACTCACAGACACATAAAGATACACTATCACAGATTCAGCAACGTCAACGTCAAGCTTAGTTCCATTGCAGAGGAGTAAAGTCGACTTGTTGACTAATCTGTGCGACCCTTATCACACACACAGGTAGACTCACAGACTCAGACGGACACACATTCAGAATTACAGACATGCAGAGAGACGCGGTAAGACTCATAGACAAACATGCAGACACACTCACGGACAGACTCACAGACACACGAACATGCAGACAGATACACTCACAGACACACAGACACACTCACAGACACACGAATATGCAGACACACGAACATGCAGACAGATACACTCACAGACACACAGACAGACTCACAGACACACGAACATGCAGACAGATAGACTCACAGACACACATGGACACACAGACTGTTTGGGACCCGAACCTTGCGGGGACTGTCCACGTTCCCAGACGCTGATGCAGAATCACTCAGAGGCACGTTTGCTTTTCCCGTGAACAATGTGGCCTGCTGCTCTTCCAGGCTCCTGCAGACAGGAGAAGCATCCTCAATGGCTCTCCTTTGCCACGCCAAGGTGACAGTCACCATTAACATGGTCAAAGGCCCCCCTATAACTGGGGGGGGGGGGGGGGGGGGGGGGGGGGTGCGAGGGGGGGTGCAGCACAGGTATGTCTGTGTATTAAAGCACGTCAAACAGAGCAGCCTAATCATCTGAGGAGGAACTGGAGGGAACAGAAATTCTATTTGGCTGCCCACTATCCTCGAGTTTTCCTTCTTTTCCTTCTGGGATCGCGAGACAAACTGCTAAGTTGATGTTACCACCACACACTTCTGGTTGGCCTCCATCTCCAGCAGCGCCGTCAGAACAGAGGTTCCCTTCTTGCCCAACGGGGGCGCTGTGGGCTCGGGGGGGTATGCAGAGAGCGAACCTGTCACCTGAAGTCCCTTCATTGCTGGTCCTTTCTGCATGGGGGTGTGGACATGGGAGTTAGACAGGCGTCTGGAGATCTTATCCCCATTACAGCTCAGCACTCTGCCAAATCGCTGCAGTCCTCTTACTGCCCTCCCTTGCACCACATGCACGCCCCCCGTCACCCACCCGGATGATGCGGTCTGAGCGGTGCCTCCTCCGGATGCGGTTCAGACCCTCCAGGAAGCGGATGAAGTTGTCGAGCAGGGCCCAGTCCCCGGCCCCACCGAGGCCCTCACGGCCCGCCCCGGGCCCCTCCCCATACACGTCCCAGCGGCCCTCTCCCTCAGCCGCCCGTCGGGCACCCCCTGCTGGCAGGAGCAGGAAGCGAGTGCGCCAGAATTTCAGGGAGTCTATCAGGCTGGAAGAAGGACCACTTTATCAGTATTCAGTGAAAAACCTTCACACAAAACACTTTCTTTATAAAATATGGCTGTGCTTCATAATATCATTAACAAGCGGTACACTAATGTTAAAGAAAATCTCGAGCAGCTGAAAGAACACCTTGGGTGGAATGAACCTCAGAACAAAGCAGCAGAATCTCTGTCATGGCTCACAGACAAAACCCTCATGGCAGTTTCTTCGGATAAATATATATTTCACACTCGTATTCTTGAATGCAAACACAAACAGACGTTTGCAGCTCAAACGTCCAAATGCCCAGAGCAGCAGAGGCCGACGGCCGCAGTACCTGAAATCCTCCGAGCCGGCGGAACAGATGTACTGGTCCAGGTAGTTCCATTTGTACTCCTCCAAGCGCTCGTGGCTGAACTCCACCCAGCAGGACATAAACTGGGCTTCCGGGTGGGGTGGGCACAGGCTGTAGCTGTACTGGATCTGGGCTGACTCATAGGGGTATCTGCAGGGGAGACACA